AAAAAAAAAAGTAAAAAAATCATGTAATTAAGAATTACTGAATGCATCTGCTCTGTTTTGACTGGAATTAGATTTTAAGCTTGGAAGCCAGTGAGGATTACAATGTAATCCCTAATGCTGTCAAAAAATAGAGCCCTCCAAATAAATCAAAAGGTAATATTAATCAAACACATGTACACTTCACTAGTGTAAAGTGCTAAATGTGTAAAATGATAAACAGCTTATGCAGCATCCCATCTGTTCCCATTGCTATGTGCAATGAGATTTAACATTTAGAGCAGGAGCAAATAGATACGACACATTTTTTTTAAAGCTGCCTCAGAAACAGAACCTGTAAATGACTGTTTATAGCAGCTTTGTTTAAGAGGCTCAGCTACAAAAACTGGTACCTAAAAGATTTATGTGGCGAAAATAGAAATATTGATAGGAGAGCTGAAGGTTATTTAACTTGAGGAGTCTGTGGAGATACTTGATAACAAAAGAAATCACGAAACCAGCAGAGCAGAATCTCATCTTCATAGTCTTTAGCATCTCAGGGGGTAAAACTGTGGCATGATTACAAAGCAATAACATCAGAATTGTCAACAGCTTTATAAAAGAACAAGGATTTCAGTGACATTATTTCTTTTGCCCTTCTTTACTATGTTGTACAGAAGCCAAATGACTGTAGAAATGGTCATTAAGCAGTGAGACTTTGATAGTTTTAGCCTGATAATATTCAGTAAAACTTTTCCAAGTGTGAATAATTTGATGAGTCTGTCTTTTACTTCAAGCTTTGGCCAGGGGAGATGACCACTGCCTCTCTTCTAAGCTTTGGAAACTAGCTGAAGGTCACTTTTTATAATCAGTAAACCAGATACACATTTCACCTGTGCCAATTCATTTCATAATCACGTGTGTTCTTGGAATTAAATGCAATCACATCTTTCAAAATAGTAAAAAAACATGTTTCCTTTTAGTGGCAAGGTGTTTAGAAGGAATCTCTATAAACAGTCAAATAAAATGGTTGGTTTGCAGGCACAGAGTTTTGTGTTTCCCTCTTCTTCAACCCAATCTTTCAGCATATTTTCTGTAATCTTTCACTGCAAAACCTTAAGCTCTTTTCTTTTGACTATTCCCCAAAACTTCCCTGCACTGAACTTTTTATCCCATGTCCTTCATAAAGAGGTGAAAACAGATAATAGAAATAGATATGTACTGTGGCTGGTTCTATGCTACATCAATGGCAACTGGTCATCCAACAAGACAAATGCAAGGAAAACCATCCCTTGATGTTATTTTACTGAGCATTTATACACAGCAACACCGAAAGCCCACAAGATTCAACAAAAATCATTAAATTTTATTCAAGAATAAATAATAATGTGGCTTCCAAGGGCAAAATATCAATCAGGTAATCAAATTTATTTCTATATTAAATACTCCCTACATGAGAGCCCTCCAGGCAGAAGATGATATATACACAGCCTGAAATTTACCCTGAATTTCACAAAGGAAAAGATGCTCCTGTTCAGCAACTTTATAATCCTCATAACATCAGAGACAAGAGGACAGGACTGAGAACCACAGCAGGTTATGAAATGGAAGAAGTTTTTTTAGCAGGAATTGTTTTCCAGTGAATATGGATGGAAGGCAGTAAAGTCATCTGATGGCTGATTTCAAAAGATGTTCCCTAACTGCAAAGGTGTCCTGACAGAAGACATGAAGCAAGGAGCAAAGGAGGAAGGCAGGAGCAGTATTTAACACAAGATGATTCCCAGAGGAAGCAGCACCTTCTCTCCTGGGCTCTTTGTACAAAGACATTTTAGCTAATCTCAAAGGCAGTGAAGAGCTTAAACATGACGCAGGTAGAGAGAGGAGTACAGCAAGATGCAAATCAGTGCAGCCACACAGATGCTGCTGAGAGGCACAGAAAATTGTAAAATTGTAAATTGGTTGTTTCATGTAGAATTATATTCACACAGCACTAAGGGATCCTATGGTGCCTAGAGGACAGTTGATACTTACTTCAGAAGCAAAGTTAGATATCGGATTATCTTCAAATTTGCTTCCTGAAGATTAAACTTAGGCCTCCACCCCCAAAATAAATGTGTGGCTCCATATCTTAAGAAAATGAAGGTGTATTATTCTTTATAGCCACAATAGGGTGGGCCCCCATTTTTTCACCACACCTCCCCACCACCAGGCACTGTTTGATTACAGACTCCACTGTGCAAATACACCATTTGGTTTACTTACATAGGCAGATTTAGAACAGGAAAGAACAAGTGCTATTATTTAAAAATGTGGAGGTTTTTTGCAATGAGTGAGTTAAGGAGTGTCCTGGAGATGCTGAGGTGGATTTTATGGGTATTGGGACAGGCTGGATAAAATCTTTTTTATCTGAGATGCACAGCTATGCAATGGGTTGAAAAATAATAAAATAAAAAGAAATAAAATAGTAAAATAACCTGCACATTGTAGGATGGCAGATGCATGAGCTGGAACATATTCACCAGAGCAGCCTTCCCGTAGGAAGGTGCAAAAGAAAAAAAAACCACTACCAGAGAAAGAGACCTTTGCAGTTTGTTCTAATAATAATAATTTTTAAAAAAATCTTAATTTCTTCAATGCATCATCCTAATCCTTCCATCACCTAAACATTCTCTCAGTGGAAAAGGTAGTCAATCATCTTCAACAGTAATTAAGTAGACATGACTCCATCATTCTTCTGCTCCAAATTCCTATGGGTGCAATGGTTGTCACTGGGAATTCACATTCTGACACAAGAAGTTTCTCAGAAACTCTTCCTTGGCCATTGAACTACTTGAAAAAACAGAAAAACCCCAAATCCATTACACTTACAAACCTCTGCCTACACCTTTTTTAAAACTCACTATTTTTCGTAAATATTTAACACACACAAACACATTTACAATTTGTACCAGCAAAATAAATAGCCCACAAGTAATTCTGTAGGCCCAAATCATCCTTTTGCATTTCAAGTAACTCCAGACCTGTGCACATGACTCTGCCTAAGCCTGCCACAAACCAGAGTTTTGCACCTGTGAAGTGTTCTTGCTCTGTAAACTAAAATGTGAGCTGAAGAAAGATCCAGGGACCAGACAGTCTTTGGGAAGTTACTTGTTCACTCAGGATATCCACAGTGCTAACCCAGAGGTCATTCCCTGAAAAACAGTGTCTGGCCTTAAATCTTTGGGATGAGTTGCTAACCCAGAGGTCATTCCCTGAAAACCAGTGTCTGGCCTTAAACCTTTGGGATGAGCTGGAGCAATATTTAGCACAGACTTAGACCATGCCCAAGATTTGTACTTGACAAGTATATTTGATGTAAAAAATCCTATTATTTTCTTTCTTACTTGTTATAACCTCTAAGTTCATTCTAAATGCTGAATGGAACAGGCTCATGGACAGCACAAGGGTAGACAGACCACACAGAAAGGCCTGTTTGAAAGCAAATTTGAACAAGTTCTGCTGGCAGCATACTTTCCCCTCAATAGTCCAGGAAAGGACTGAATGAAAACATTTGCTAATAGAGTTTGGAGATACAAATGAGGAGGGCAAGTCAAACTGGTCCAAATCCAAAAGATGCTTTGGTTTAATGATATTTTATGTGCTTATA